CCCCGGATGTTGATCCTTTTAAGACAGCACTGGACTAAGACGTCGAGTCTGTGGTTAAACATAAGCACCCAGTTTGCCATTTTCTCTCCGAGACCATCATCCTGAAGTCATCGCTATAACCCAAATTGTATCTGTGGTCCTTCATCACACGCATGAATTCCTTCAAGACCCAAAGCTTGACGAGGGCTTCTGATGGTTCGTAAAGTCCTGCTGAGAATCTTGGTGCTGTACATGTGAACACAGGGAAAACCGTAGCAATTTGAGGAGAAAGAAATGTGGGTGGTACAGAACCTTCAAACATCTAGTAAAACGGCCAAATATTTCTTGGCTGGTTAAACCCTTCAACGCCTGTGAACTGGAAGGGGCCAGGGCAAGGGTCTGGGGTCAGTAATAAGATAGCAGGACTCAACCAATTCCTTTGGTCCCTCATTTTTATTATTTCTCAAGGAGACTATGAAATACGATGTGATCTTCACTAAACAGTGAGGCTGTCTTAAATACAAAACATTTAAAAATATTTTTGCAGGGGGGGTGGCTCAGTCAGTTGAGTATCTGACTCTTGATTTTGGCTCAGGTCAGGTCACGATCTCACCGGTTTGTGAGTTCGAGCCCCACGTCGGGCTCTGCGCTGACAGCACGGAGCCTGCCTGGGATTCTGCCTCTCAAAATAAACAAACTTCAAAAGTTTTTTTGATGGTTATTATGGTTCCTTAAAAAAAAAAAAAAAAAGAAAGAAAGAAAAAGAACCAAAATTCAAGTATTTCTTCAGAAAGGTTGCATGACATTTCTCCCACCAGACCCGGTTTTGTCCCTTGAATCTCCATGGCACGGCGGATGGGTCCAGAAACCCTGCACTGACTCCCAGTATAGTGTCAGCCACACACCCAGCCTTTTAACCCCAAGAGCGTGACTCACCGTAGCAGCGGTTTCCCGCTCCTCTTGGCCCCAGGTCGCAGCCCTATCGGCCAGCTGGGGACGCGCCTGAGCCTTAGAGACCTAGCAGCTGGATTTGTGCCTTGTTGTTGCAATTCAGAATTTTGACCCATTCCCGAGCCGTGGTTTCCAGTTGTCAGAAAATGAGCCTCCTGCTTAAGAAGTTTAAAATAAATCTGCTGTTTTCAACATAACTTGAGTGACCCCTGATGTACAAAGGACAGGAAGGTAAGCAGCTGCCCCACATTTCCATCAGGAGGAAGCCACAGACCAAAGAGATCACTTGTGTCACAGAATCCCTATTGGTTGGGTGGAGGGTGGGTAAAAGACCGAATGCTGTCCCCTCCCCCCATCAGGTCACGTAGAGAGGAGCAGCACTGTGTACGCGATGACCCACGCCAAAGAGGACTTCACCTTCACGTCTCAAGATGTGAAACAAGGCTGGCCTGTTGCCGTGGGACGTTTCTGCGGAAAATTCAAAGCGACTGTGCTAATCCTCTATGTGAAATGTGTACCTGAAAGCCTACAAGGACAGCGGAATTGCAAAGTAGTGTTATTTGAGAGGATTTGAGGATTGTAAGTTAACGTCTGAAAAGCAAAAGCTCTCGCTCCTCTAACTTGATGGAAGACGGTCTGCAAGTTGACTGCTTCCCGAGCCACGTGATCCCTGAAAGCGTGCCTCACTTCGGCCTTTCCGGTAGGACAGGGAACCCATCGCTTACCACCAGGGATGGGGACCCTGATTCAAATCGAGGGAAAGGCCAAGCACCTGAAAAGTCACTGACTGCCTCAGAACACATTTGAGTCACCCCAAATCCACAGTCCACCCCCTCCAGCTTCCTGGCCTAGAGTCGGCACACGCGAGCGAATCCACACAGGCCGAGGAAGGGTCTGGAGAAAGATGGCAAAGCTAGAAGGATTTCTGGTCTCTAGCAGGCGGGATTCAACTCCGTGTCTCTGAAAACGGCTCCCTGTTAACCAGTCTCATCAAGTGCACGCCCCCTCGGCGGCCCCGGCCCAGGCCGACTACCACCAACATCGACTATTTGATTCTGAAACCCGCCGAGGGCTTCTTGTAAGTTGCAGAGCTGAGTGCCAGGCAGCGAGCCCCTCCCTGCCGGCGGACAAGGGCTGGGAAGGTTCGCACAAACTAGGGTAATGGAGCCTAGGCAAAACCCAGGGTGACAGCAGACGGGGACAGGGGTGACATCGCAGGGATTTAAGGAAAACCAACAAGATAGGGAGCACCAAGAGTTTACTCAGAAGCCGTTACACTTTAATAACAAGCAACCACACAGAAGCACTGTATTTTCCCTCTGTTACATTAGCAAATACATGGAAAAGCAACTTAAAAAATGGGTCTCCTTCACAACTCTTTCCCACGCCCACCAACATCCGTCAGAATTGCTTGCGGAGGTTTTAACAAGTATTTAAGTCTGGGCCTCACTCCTCGAGGAGACTGCGCCGGGCAGGGGCGGGATCCAGGCATTTTTTAAAAAGCTCTTTAGGGAGTCTGGAGGATTCCTTCTGCTTGAGTCTCTGATTTTTAGGTCGACTGGGGCACTCTGGACTTTTTGGGCCACTGTTTGGGGGCGTGGGGGGCTTTTTTCGCAGACTTACTGGGAGTAGTGAAGAACTTGGCCCCTGGCTTTTTGGTCACCTGTCTTGGGTCTTTTTTGCCCAGTGAAGAGTCTGGTTCTTTTCCCGCCTCTTCTTTGATTCTTGGCTTCTTGCCCGGGCTGCTACCTGGGGTCTTGGGCTCCGCAGCCGTCGGGGTCTCGAAACTGGGAAGGGCCTTTCTCTTCTTCCCACGAGGTGCGCTGGGATTGGGACTCTTCTTTGGAGACTTCTTTCCTGCGGCTTGTTTTTGCATCTAAGAAAAATAAGAGTTAAGTGCAGGGAAAAACGGCCCCTGACAATGGAACTCCGAGAGTGACTGTCTTCACCAGGTCTGAAAGGTTTTACAGGCAGGACCCAGCACCCAAGCTTGCCCTTGCCCTGGTACATTTCCAAAAATTAATCATGTGGTGATCCGGGACTCACTGTCAGAAACTGAACCAGTGCCCAAATGTCTGCCCCGGCCTGCTTTTGAAAACCACAGGCGATGCGTCCCAGAATTATTATCATGACCACCCCTCCCCTGAATCTGAGATACACAGACGAATGTGTTCACTGCACATCACTCCAATACAGGGCAAAGGAAGCCCCTCCCAGGCTTCTGGGTCTACCTGGTAAGTTTCATCTATGACCTCGGGATCTTTGCTACGACAGATTCTGCTGGAAATACACTAGGGACAAACAACGCCCCCGTCCTTGCAATGCCTCTTACACGCATGGCTCAGCGGGGCCTGCCTGACACACGGGGGCACTGAAGCCATCGGCCACTAGCACCAATAGAAATACCTCTCCGTTTTCTTTCGCTGGAGTCCTCTCTATTGGTACCAGTTGAGGAAGCTCCTCTTCGGATTCGTCCTGCACTTTATTCTGGGCTTTTACCTGAGTGCTCTCTTTCTTCCCACAAGCTCGGGCCTCCTTCGGGGGTGCGGGGCCCTTCACCGGAGCACCGCCAGTCCCAGGGCCCGCCTCCTCTTTCTTCGGGGCCGACGAGGCCTTTCTGGCCTGCTTCGTAAGCCTTTTGCTTCTTTTCTTCTCCTTTTGTTTTTCACGATACTCTTTCTGTTTTTCTTTTTTCTTTAATTCCTACCAAAACACCAAACAAAAAACCCAGGAACAAAAAAGCCACACCAAACTCCAAGCCTAACTTTAGCAGGGAATACACTTGTTGGTCAATAAATGCCATAGACTTAGAACTTGCAATTCTCATTATTCATAAGCTTCTGGAAAGTGCCTTGATCTGTGGCAACTCTAAGCAAACAAACCACAACACCAGCACTGGAACCTCAACTGCACTTGGCTCTGACTCACAGAACTACATATGGGGACTTGGAAGCAATGAGGTGTACAGTCAGAGCTTCTGCAAGGTGCTCTGATTTATAGGTGAGTTAAGAGTTATCCTAGGGATGCCTGGGTGGCTCAGTCGGTTGAGTGTCCAACTCTTGAATTCGGCTCAGGTTGTGATCCTAGGGTTGTGGGATCAAGCCCTACATTGGGCTCTGTGCTTTGTGCGGACTGTGCTTAAGGTTCGTTCTCCCTCTCCATCCCTCCCTCCCTCCCTCCCTCTCCCGCTCTCTCTCTCTCTCTCTCTTCCCCTCTCTCTGTCCCTCCCTGGCCTGTGAGCGGGCGCGCGCACGCACGCACACACACACACACACACACTCTTTCTCTCTCTCTCAAAAAAAAAAAAAAAAAAAAAAACCAAAAGGAAAAAAAAAATTATCCTAAATTATAGAGTATTCTGATGTGAATTACATCTCAAAACAGTTTTAAGAAAAAAAACTGATAATTTTTCCCTACTTCAGACTGGGGCAGCAGTTAGATTAAGAAGTTTATAGAACCAGAGGTCCACTGTCCTTACCACAGACCACTGTTAAATGACCCCCATAATAGTGTGTAAATTCCATGTTAGCCAACAATTCCAACATTTTTGCAAACTCCTCAAATCAATGTGCTGACAGATGGCAAAAAAATTCACGTGTCCTGCTTCTGATAATGGCAGTCTTTTATTTTGGGTCATTCTCCCAATGAAAACAAGTAAAAGTGGGATGAAATACTTAAAATTTTTTTT